TCATGTGGGACAGTATCGAATGCCTTGGAAGGCATATATTGGAAGGTATATAATTGGAAGCTATAACTGAACTTTCAGTCTAGATCCATGCCTTTACTTTGTCCTCAAGTTTTGGGGAGTATTTGGACACAGGAACTTTGATTCAGATTCCTCTCCCCAGCTGATTAAGCTCTGTAAGAGAATAGATCTGCTTTGTTTTCTTCCAGAGAAAAATGCTTAGGTTTTCAGTTGAGCAAGATCAAGAATAGGTGAGTGGGTCTTTAGTGCTTAAATCTGAATTGCTGACCACTGAAGATCTGTCCCTGCATCTCTGAGGCTTAATTCTGAAGATAAATTCCCTAGCCTACAGGGATAGCTAGGTATGAGATATATCAGGAAGGTGTCTTTGGTGGGCGGTAAGCTGGAAAGCAAGACCTTAGCAGTAGGGAATTCTGCAGTAAGAATGCTCATGGATCTCAGTCACCATTACCACAATGGTTTGCCATGGGGTCTGAAAATGCCTGTAAGTGTGCACAACTGCTTGTGTTGCTCAGCACAAGGCACAACACAGAAGAGCTCCAACAGAGACATGGGAGTCTTTTTTTGTCTCACCAATTCATCAGAGCCCATCTACCCTGGATATCCAGAGGGGGCTCAGAGTCAACCAGAAAGGGTGAAAGGGGGTCACTGGAGCTGCTGGAAGATTTTACACAGAGGTTAGAGTGGTTAGAAATCTACAAAAGAAGGAGAATAATGTCTTGAGTTCAGATCAGAGCTCTTCTGAAGGCTTTTTTTCCACATTGTGATGGTCAGTGCACCTATGATATAAAGAGCTATGACATGGGTTACTGCATTCTGCTCTACTTCCATCATCAGTCCCTCACAGTGTCTTCCTTCTTTGGAAAAGACTGCTAGTGGAGATTCATTTGAGCAGTAAGATCATAGATGTTCCTTTTGAAAAGCATTCTTTCCTGTAGTGAAGAGTAAATGCAATTTCTTTGCAAGCTGTAGCTGATACAATCATATTCTGGAAGTTTATCAAATTGATTTGGCTGTAGTTCAGATTCATTTGATAGTTCAATTGCTAACACTGAGATATTTGTGTAAGAAGTTTTCTGTTCCATTACCAATACATCCACTATTCTATGGATGGGAAATTACCTTTTTATCCTAACTGAGATCAAGATAAGAGCCTTCTTACTTATCTACCACTGTAGTGTACACCAGGAATGCACTTATGGAAATGACTGACCCATAATCATATCTTTGCTGGGACAAGTAATGTTGCTGCAATCAAATCTGTGTTGCAGACTGCAGTATTTTATTAAAATGAATGTCAGGATGTTTTAACTCTTGATCTTCCTGAATCAGTTTTCTACAGTCAATTATTACCAACTTCTGTTTTATAATACAGCATATTAAAATAGTGCGAAAGAAACACAAACATGAATAGTAAGGTCAGAAAGAACCAATCTTAGCCCTTGTACAGGCTACACAGTTTCACAAATCAGTAAATCAGTTCCTCTCAGGCTTACAGCTCTTGGCTGAATTAGAATATCATCTAGAAAGACATCAGGTTTTGAGTTAAAGATTTCAGCGCTGACAGTAGGCAGGGAAATCAAATAGCTAATTACTCCCACACCTATACGTATTCCTTCTATAAAGAAATACACTATTTCCAACTTGAAACTTCATAGCTTCAATTTTCAGCCATATTGTCTCATTTAATCATCTTCTGATGCTCCCAGAGCTGTAGTGGCTTACACCAGCTTTTACTGAAGTCCTTAGGAGTTCTTTGGCTGCATCCTCGCTTGGGTGGAGGGCAGGGTATGGCTGTGGTCCATCCTATCCCTGCAATTTGTCTTCAATGGGAAATCCACATATGGGGGCCACAGGAGAGCTCCAGTTGATCCCCAGCTCATCAGCTGAGTCCCTAGAGCACAGGAAAAATATTTCTCACCAGTCTACTGCTCTCTGATCTCTGCTCCACCAGCTGATTCTTGCTGTTTCTGTATGTGCCTTTCAGACCTCATCAGTTGGTCAGTAATTTTGCTAATCCAACAGAGACTTCCAGTGGGAAAGAGAAGTGATTGGAAGAGAAGTCAGATTCATTTTGCTGTTCCTGAGCTGGCTGCTGTTAAGGCTGATGACTAGCAGCCAAGCAATAATAATACAAGGCCATGTACTCCAGCCACTGATGCTTTCTGGTTTGATTTCCTACTGCCACTTTATTGTTTGGTTCATCATGCTTATTTAACTTACCAAGCCTCTAACTAGAGAGCAGTGTTCCAGAGAACCTCTGCACTGCGGTCTGCGTGTAGTGACTCAGTGGAGTAAGTTACTAAACCACCTGCACAATGTCTGTGTTTGCTGTTTGAGGGCTTGTCAGTGGTGTAGTAGTGATAACCATTCCGCACAGACGTAACAACAGCAGCACTTTCCCTAACTCACTCCAATTTATGTGCAATAATGAGCATAAAAAGAAAATCTTTTAGAAGAACAAGAAAATAATGGAAAAATATTTAATATTTATGGAATTATTTAAAGATGCCAGAGATCCAGTAACATTTTAGCTATTTTTTAAGTCTAGGTGATATTCCTATTGACAGTTGGGATTCAGTAAAGATTTTTAGCTAACAAGACGAAGAAAACATGTTCCATGCTCTTGCTGAGAATTATAGAATCGTAAGTTTCACAGGCTCTCAATGATGCCATGAGTGATGCTGTGGGTGGATTAAGGCAGAAGACTGCTATTTAGTTGTTGAGACATAAGTACATACATATATATATATTTCATTAGGCAGAGGCATACTAAGGGTGACAGTCCATGAAACAATCACAGTTGCTTATTGCAACCTAGGTATCAATAACGTCAAATTTCTTGTCAGCTGCTGCTTTTAGCCCCTGTGAGAAGCTGGTCAGGTCCAGAACCACCTCAGGACCACAGCGTGGCTGCTCTCAGCCTGACCTGTGGAAGTTCAAAGTGTTTCTGTCTCACTCTTCCAGTAGAAGTCATGGCCCCAGGTCAGGGTAGGGAAGTGCGGGTCTTGCTCCTCTGCTGCCACAGTTCATGGCCCAGTTGTTGAAGGTGGTACATCCATTCAGAGCCTGGAGGCAAAGCTTCAGCAGTGGGCACAGCATGGACACAAAGATCATCTTTACCTGCAACTGGTTTTACTAACTGCTTTGCCTGCTGTCTGTGGATTTGTTAGACTTGGCCACCCTAAGGTAAAGACCGAGTTCCAACAGAGCCATTTCCTGGTATTCATTTTGTTTCTTAGAATAGAGGTGCAAATGTGGATATGGAACATAGCACCTGTCTGAACTTTATTACATGCTGCTAAAACCTGGTCTCCCCCTCACATGAGATTTTACTGCATTAATATGATGATAATGAAAACCTAACTGTTCTATGATTTTATGTTGGGTTATAGAGATATGTTATAGAGATATGTTTTCCTGACTTCTTACTGTTTGGATTAATAGGATACTGTACCTTGGAGGGGGCAGGGAGAAAATTACAAATATTGTCTGTCCAATTCCTTTATTAGGGAAATTTCCTTTCTTTTGTTGGAGACTAAAGAGCAGAAGCAGTCTCAGCAGACACTGCATCCTGGCTCAGTCTCAGGCCATAAGAGCACAGGGGCTAAGGGAGGACAGGGTGATTGTATGCAGTTCATTTTATTGTTGCTTTTCAGAGAAAGGATGTGCTCTCCTCCTGTCATGAGCCAAGGGACACAGTTTGTGCCTTGGTGAGGGAAATGTGGGGATGTTCTGCGTCAGCTCTTATACTCTGGAGCCATTGGGATGCACTCCCAAGTGTTTCTTAGCCTGGAGATGGGAGCACCCTTGGTCCTTCTTCCCTTTCCCCACCTTCAAGGCACAGGTCAAGATCTAGTGTTTGCACAATGTGTTTCCTTCTAAAAGCCCTAATGCTCTCTTTAATGCATTTGTAGCTGCTGCTTCCCTTGGTGCCTTTGATAACCTGTCCCATGCAGTAATTGCCTTTCACATATATACATCTCTCCAAACCTCCCATAATCTTGCCCTTTTCTTCACTTCAGTTTGTGCTCTGTTTGTTTTTCAACTCTCTGGAAATGTTTTCTTACTTTAGTTCCTCACAGTTTGAACCATCTCACCCCTGTCTCTGATCTTTTTTCCTTCCTAATGAATACAAGACCTGATATCCCAACCTCTCCTCACATACGTACCTCTACATGAGCTCCTCTTTTTGTGTTGAATACTTTTTCCACAGCAGCCTTCCTGATGGTCATGTAGTCAACTTCTGTTGTGATTTAGTCAGCCTTTTTTATCCTGTAGCAGTATCGTGGGATGACTGTTGTATTTACTGGGTATTTACTAAACCCAGTATCATATGGCACTAATGGTTTATGTCCCTGCTAATTCTAACATAGAGGATTTTCTCTCAGACCAGACTAATATCATTTGATTGTTGTCCACAATGGATATTAGTTCAGGTTTCCTGGAGGAACATGTAATTTATCCCAGGATCCTCTTTTCAGTGTACATTTCCAGCTGATGTCTTTCCAGCCACTACTCTAAAAACGAGTAGGACAGTTTAAAACGTGTATCCACTGTCGAGCAGAGGTAAATTTGCTCTTTACCAAGATTTTCTTATGTTTTCTTAAAGGGATATTTCAAGGACGAGAATCAGCTTCCTGCCAAGTCATGGATTAGAGCTCATTAAGAAGCTAAGAGCAAGGTCTACATACAATTTAAAAAAGCTTCCTGATTTAAGCAAATTTAGAGCTTTGATTGAAGCAAACTTCACCTATCCCAGCCATTGCTGCGCATTTACAAACTGGAAAAGACAAAAGTAAGTGATTTCATTTGTTTTTCTTTGTGGTGCCTCTCAGCAGGTGCTCAGGATGTAGGCCTCATCTCCATGATGCCACTTACATTAGGGTTTGGATTAGGATTGGGGCTGGGAGGTTCACAAATCCTAGTGCTCCAGTGACACTTGGGCTGCAAAAGATATGCCAAGTGCAGCACGGCACAGCACCATTTCTCCTTCTACACTTTCTCATCTGCGCCAGCCATGGTGCTGGGGACTCAGGCCTCAAGTCCATGATCCCATTCAGTTTAGGGGTAGGGATAGAGTTCAGAGATCCACAGAGCCTTCAGCTCCAGGACACTGGAGATGCAAAAGACATGTCAAGGTCAGCATGGCACTGCACCAACATTACTCTTTCCATACCTTTCTCATCTCATTAAATGAACTTCCTTAAAGTCTGGATGGAAAAGGTCTCTTCAGTGCAGGTAAGTAAAAGGATAGAAATAAATTTATATATACAATACATGTAGGTTTATGCTACACAGTGCGCTGCCTCTCATTCCCATTATAGGGGAGTAATAAATTTTGATAGGTGTGTTAGCATCAGCATTTCTGGACATTAAATGACAAACTTCCTGGACATTCATTAAATGAACTTGTCTGGACAGAAAAGGTCTCTTCAGTGCAGGTAAGTAAAAGTAAAGTCTGGATGGAAAAGGTCTCTTCAGTGCAGGTAAGTAAAAGGATAGAAATAAATTTATATATACAATACATGTAGGTTTATGCTACACAGTGCGCTGCCTCTCATTCCCATTATAGGGGAGTAATAAATTTTGATAGGTGTGTTAGCATCAGCATTTTCCCCAGCTGTGGCTCTAGGTCCCATCTGTCACTGGGACTTGCCATTCTGGATCAGCCTGCAGCCATGCTGAAGACATTTAACAGGAAAAGTTTGATAACTGATCAGGAGGTAGCTGGAGGAAAAGCTGTGTTCACAAAGAAGCTGGTCAGTACTTGGCTATCAGTTCAGGAGGGTAATAGGACCACTGCATGATCTCAAACTTGTCTCTCAGGAAGTCACATTGATGTTGGAACAGTGTCCAACCAAGCGCCACAGGTACAGAATCTGCCAAGCCTACATACACAACATTTTTGGACATGATTTCTGAAATGGTTAACCTAGAACAGACTTTTTCTATCAACAGAGTCAGGGCAGGGTGTCTTTTTAGATTCCCAAAGTAGTTTTCCATGCTTATTTTAATTTTCTATTAGCAAATTGCACTGAGACTTCAAGTACCAACCAAGTGCCACAGATACAGTATCTGTCAAGTCTACATACACAATATTTTTGGACATGATTTCTGAAACGGTTAACCTAGAACAGACCTTTTCTACCCAAATCAACAGAGTCAGGGCAGGGTGTCTTTGTAGATTCCCAAAGTAGTTTTCCATGCTTATTTTAATTTTCTATTAGCAAATTGCACTGAGACTTCAAGTATCAATGATTCTCATTGAGTATTATCAGCTCAGATACATAGATAGACTTCAAATGTACAAGTTAACTAGTTAACTGTGATGTGACCCTGCTTGCCGTGCACCTTCACAGGAGATGATAATTTTCCTGTGGCCATTTGGGTCTCAAAAATCATGCTGTTTGTTAGGGGATAAGATGTTTTCATTTACTTCCAGGTAGCCTAGGGAGGATAAAAAGGATGCTTCGTCACCCCCAGAAGAGCATTTCTAAGAATCACTGCAGCATTTGGTATTCATGTAGGAAATCTGGGAAGGAATTAAGACAGGGATGTGTGGCCCCTTTTTGCCTGCCCTATTTATGTTAGATTTTCTCTCCCCGAGACTTCTGCAGCACTCTGGAACCTGTTCCAAATCCTTCTGTACTGGTGAACAGGTGCTGTTGTGATAATAGAAAGCTTAAACCTGTTACAGCAGCATTCCTTTCTAAATTCTGGAGCATGTCTCATCAAGCACAGCTCCTCCACACTGAGTCGCAAATTAAAACAATTTTGATGCTTTCCCTTCCCTCCCCCCATTCCAGTAAGGATTATATTACTGGATTTTGCCAGTCCAGTAAGATTTATCACACTGGCCTAGCAGAAGGTGAACTGCTTTCTTAGGACAAGCCCAGTGTAGTTTGTTGAACTCCCCTCACATTTTTCTGTGACTGGAAAATAATATCCTTGAAGTGCAGATAGGGCAGAGGCTGGATGTTAAAACCCTTAACTTGACATAGACCATTATGAACTTCAGCAAGCTTTTGGCTTTCTTTGACATAAAGATCGCTGTCTGCCTAAAAGAATGACATTGATATGACTCTGTCCTTACACTTGATCATTATTCTTTGGAGGAGCTGTCACATGAAATCCTACTTTTTTTAAAAGAGTGGCAGCATCAGGAGTTGTGTTTGGGCCTTGTCTCATGAGAACATACTATCAGTTGCTCACAACTCACTTGGTGGCACTTTTTGGTGAGAATAATTGCTTTGAGATAGGGCTAAATACAGAACCTAGGTTGGGCCTATTTATTCTGCTGAGCGTGTTCATCAGCACACAAGATCCTGCTGTCACTGGATTCAAATGAAGCACATAAAATAATGACTTGTACAAAGGTAGTAATTTTTGTTAATTTTCATCAGAGCACTCTACCAATTTTAACTTTATTCTTTAAGTTGTCCTTTCTCTATTTTCAGAGGGTTTGCTTGAGCAAAGCAATGTTTAAACAGTAACAGAAGGTTACAAAGAGACTGAATAAATGAATTGTGTTATGATACCTACCAACTACCTCATAAGAAAGCAAGGGCCCATCCCTTGCCAAAATATGTTTTAACTTGTTGCTTTGAATGCACCACACAACCCAAAGAGCAAACACTCAAGGGCAAAGAGCTGGCAAGCAGTCAGTACCAGAGGAGTTTGCAACTGCCCATCTTACCTGCTCACAGTACAGGTGACCAGGAAGAAGACTCCTCACCACCCATCCTCAGAGCAAAAAGAACAGCTAAAATGCTGTGGACTGTGGTTTTCTTTGGGACCACTGGCTGTAAAGTAACTCAAGAACTAATACATTGTAATAATCAGAAATATTTAACTGGCCTTACATAGCAGTCTTGTCAGGGGACAGATTTAGCTCCAGGCGGTGCCTCCGTAATTTGGGAAAAGGTTTATTTTTAACTCATAGCTGAGAAATGACTGGATAAAAACATTTCCCTCAGTTCATTGCTGAAGCACCACCACCAACTGCAGTAGCTTTCAGTGCCCTCAAGTGCCTTTTGCACTCAAAACTGAGGGACTTTCTCTCCCTTTATTGCTCCTTGGGAGCATATATTCCATTTCAGCTAGAGAACCGTTGATATATTGATCAATACACTGGACCCCTCACTCATCCTTATGCGAGTAGGACACAGGGGAGCAAAATGTAATGCCTTGTTATTGCTGTTGTGACCTTCATAGTGCATGTTTGACCTCACAGAAAATCAGTTTTCTGCCTCAGTTGACAAGCAAGATAAAAAATACTGATAATAGTAGAGGATGTTCAAAACCTCATAGGAAATGTCCCTCACCTTCTGATGCTGGGGCTTCATTAGTTTTCCTTTCTTGCAGACCTTTTAAATTCAATTTTGGGAGGATGTGGAGAGTGCACAAAGTCAAAGGGTAAAAATAAGTTACAAAAAAAAAGTGTCCCTTTTAAGCTGCTACCAATTCTTTAAAATTTTCAACCTAAAACTTGCCTAGAAAGCTCTTTTCTCAGCTGCACCGCAAGTCAGGGTGGAAGATAAGATGGGGTCCTCTCTAGAAATCACACACCTAAATTGCTGTCTGGGCTGTAGATTAAAGTAGGCAGAGCTGAACTGTGTTGGGTTTGAAACACATTGTCAGCTGTTTTATTCCCTAAATCAGATTAGATCTGGATCCATCCTATGCAAAACTATGGATGCATGTTTCTGGGACAGCAAACTTCAAAGGCAGCCTAGGAGAAGCAGTTGTAAAATCTGACCTTTTATTTCCTCCTGATACATTTTGATGTTTCTTAGATTGAAGAAGCTGATCATCCACCTGTCATCTCAGCCAAAGCGTTTCTTTCTAGGCATGAAGAAGGGCATAGAATTAATACTCTAGAAAATAAAGCCAAACACAAAACTTATCAGTGACAGGTTATGTGAGACATCTACTTGAAACAAGGGAGGCTTCTTACACACTGCGTCATCACGTGGATAACTGCATCATGAATGTTAGTAAGGCAAATGTTAGGCTTTCCTGTCCCTTACATTTTTTTGATGTTTCCAAACCATTTACACTTCCATGTAATAATTTATAAACAGAGACCAGCCAGACTATTGATTTCAAGCTCCAGGGTAGTCTATATAATCAGCTAACCAGAAAAACTGAGCTGTTAATGGAAACTGGATGATTTTGTGTTTGTTGTATGTCATGTGCTATCTCTTAGTTGCCAACTCTACTCTTCTTACAATTTCAGCACTGAATTACATCCCATATGTAGTGTATCATCTCAAGACAAGCAAGACCTTGGTGAGCAGCCTGGCAATAAGAGACACAGACGATCTGCAGCTGAAGATGATCTTTCCAGCTACAGCATAGGATCAGACCCAGCAGAGAATGAATTTGACTATGGTTTGTGCAATAAAGTAGTTAATGTAGCTTGCTCACCTAAACCTGATGCTTTCAATCCATGTGAAGATATCATGGGCTACAACACTCTGAGAGTCCTGATATGGTTTATCAGCATTTTAGCTATCACTGGGAACATTGTTGTCCTCGTTATTTTAATAAGCAGTCAATACAAACTCACCGTACCTCGCTTCCTAATGTGCAATCTTGCATTTGCAGACCTCTGCACAGGTATCTACCTGTTGTTTATTGCATCTGTAGATATCCAGACCAAAAGCCAGTACTACAACTATGCCATAGACTGGCAAACTGGGGCAGGATGCAATGCTGCAGGATTTTTTACAGTGTTTGCAAGTGAACTCTCAGTCTACACACTGACTGTGATAACTCTGGAAAGGTGGCACACCATCACCTATGCCATGCAGCTGCACCGCAAGGTTCGACTTCGTCATGCTGTGATTGTAATGATTTTTGGCTGGATGTTTGCTTTCACAGTGGCACTTCTTCCCATAGTTGGAGTCAGCAGCTACATGAAGGTCAGCATCTGTTTGCCCATGGATATAGAAACATTGTTTTCTCAGGCTTACATTGTATTTCTTTTAGTGTTGAACGTGCTTGCATTTATGATTATATGTGCCTGCTATATCTGCATCTATTTTACTGTGAGAAACCCTAATGTGGTCTCTTCAAACAGCGACACCAAGATTGCCAAGCGCATGGCCATACTGATCTTCACAGATTTCCTCTGCATGGCACCAATATCTTTCTTTGCAATATCAGCCTCACTCAAGGTTCCTCTCATCACAGTCTCCAAATCCAAGATCCTTCTGGTTTTGTTTTACCCCATCAATTCCTGTGCAAACCCTTTCCTCTATGCCATTTTCACAAAGACTTTCCGCAGGGATTTCTTCATTTTACTGAGCAAGTTTGGTTGCTGTGAAATGCAAGCCCAGATTTACAGAACAGAGACAACCTCATCTGCTCATAATTTCCATACAAGAAATGGCCATTGCCCTCCTGCATCAAAAAGCAGTGATGGAACTACTTACTCATTGGTTCCTCTGAATCACTTGAAATGCTTGCATGAATTCGTGTCTGAGGCAGTGTGATAATCAATCAGTTTCAACTGTGAATGTGAATAATGACTTTAGCATAGCTTTTAAACTCTTTTTTAATGAGAACAAGAATAATTTATTTCTATTTTCCTAGCTTAGCTCAATGAACAGCCTACCACATCACCTTCAACATCTTGAACAAAGAACCAAACTTCAGTATGTCCCTGAAGTGCTCTTGTAGAATTGTTTCACAAAATGAGATTATAAACTGGTGTCTCCCACCATATAGGCAGAGAACACCCTTAATTCTAGGAGGATGTTAGCTGCTCAGTGAGAATTAAGTGGTGGTTATATACGGTAAAAGATAAAAATATGTAGAACTAAGGGGTTTTTTTGCCTGTGAAGCATGTTTTAACAATGACATAGAATTGGCTCTTTTCTTTAATCGTATCTCCTGGGGTTACAGGAGACAGAAGGCCAACTGAATGCCCTTCTTCAGCACAGACTTCATACAAATGAGAATAGTGTGTGGTTTGTGTTGATTTACTTTCTGTTGACCACAGCAGAGGGGCAGGCGGCATCTCCAGCTGATGTCTGCTGTTCCACACGCATGGACCTTTCTTCCTCTGCATGAAGGTGTCACTTTGGGTAGGATTTGTCTTGCTGTAGCTGGGCAGGCTCAGAGAACCAAATTTCATCTGAGTTTGGAACAAGGATTTTCGGGTTGGGTTTGTTTTCAAGGTGAGACAGAGCAAGAACAAGAGCAGGGGAAACCCTTCATAGTAAGGAGAATGTTTCGCAACTTGGTCTCTCAAAGTTGGGTTGAAATCACTTTTGTGTGTCTGAGCCCCTTGGGTATGCAGGATGGGCCGATGGGCAGTTCTAACATACCTGAGGCAGATTTGCCATACAGCAGTATTGGTGGATTACATTATCCAGGCTATGTAAATGATGACAGATCTAGACATGGCTTTTGAAAATCTGAATGAAAACTTTTGTGAAATCCTAAAAGTTCTCTTACCCTTCTAAAAAAGAAAACAAAAAAACCCCAACCATTTGCACATTCAGAGGATGGTCCAGATTGAAAGACCTGAGAGAAACTATACACTGCATATGTCGAAACAACAAAAATACCTCTTAATCAAGCTTTCCTGGTTGTATAAGGCTTTTGAATAACAGCTGAATGAACATACAGACTTCTTACATGATTTGAATATCAATCATTCCAAATCACACCAAAGCTTGAGGGTTGGGCAGGGTTTTCTCATGCTGATTGTGTGACTATGTGTGGGTATATGGGCATAAAGAAAAAAAACAGGACAGGAGTCTGGGCTTCATTCCCACCTCACAAACAATTCAAGGTTTTGCCCCATGAGAGTATAAATGTGCGGAGTCTTCATAGTTAAATGTGATTTGCTTTGAGTATTTCCTGCCTACAAGTCCAAAAATTTCAGAAGCAATTCTTGCTGCTTCTATCCATAATTTCCCCTGTCATCAGCTTCACGTTTCAGCATCTCACCTGATGTGAATAACTACAGGACATGATTATTCATTCAGTCCTAGCCAGGGAAGGAAGTGTCAGCTCCCTAGTGCATAAAACAGGGGAGATCAAAGATAACGTGTTTTGAAGAGGGAAATTTCATTACTCAACACAAGCAACACTCCCTTCAGGATCCAGGAGAAGGAAGAATGAAAAAGAAAAACATGAAAGAGAGTTTAGCTCTTCTGACTACTCAGAGGAATCATTTCTTCGCAAATGCTTTATGTCATATACAGTGTACTGGTGTGCAGCCGTTGAAACCCTTCCCAATAGTAGTGTCTGAATGATGATATTTCAAAATGACAAATAGTCTTCTTGTATTAAAAAAAGACTCTTGAATCTATTTCTGGACCAAAACCGAGGGGTGTTCTTTGCCAAATACTAGCCCATTTTTGTTGATATTGGGCACATTCTTGTCGTGTGTCACGCTTTTTTGCCTGCACCCTGACCATTTGCAAAGGCAGTAGGATGAGACCTGGCGGTTCAGGAAAGCACAGGCATAATCCAGATGCCAGTCATGTAAATTCTCCCACAGCTACATCAGTCTGGCACGTAAGCTTGGTACAGCTCATCTATTTCATGCAGAAACATTGTCCAGAATCAGGACATGGTTGAACATGCTTGACAAATAAACACCCCTGAACAGAGACTGTGCAGGGTTGTGTCTTGTAGCCAGAATGAAAGCAGAACTCTTCCTCCAAGGGAGACACGGGATCATACTCAAAGAGAAGGTTAGAACCTGCGTAATGGGACAGTTTGCCTCATCTGTAGCAGAAAGACAGCACAGAAATGCTTGAGGCACATGTCATCTTGCCCTGAGCTCTGATGGTAGCTCAGGCTGTGGCACCAGCTCCAAAGCTGGGAGGACACTGAGCATGTGGTTGTCAGATCATAGACTCAGAGATTAACCAGGTTGGAAAAGAAGTTTAAAGTTATCAAGTCCAACCATTCCTCCAGCACTGCCAAGGCCACCACTAAACCACTGGGGGCCTTGTCTATACAGTGTTTGTTTGAACACTTCCAGGGATGGTGATTCCACCACCAAGATAAAAACCTTCCTTCTTCTAGTCCTCAGATCTCCTTGGCTTTCACTACTCTTTGGACTTTAATTTTAAGCAGCTTCCAAATTGAGAGGGGTATTGTAGGACCCATGTCTTGCCCTGTGCAAGGTAACGGTCTATTGATAGCAATTTTTTTAAGCAGTGGTTTGGTTTTTCTTTGAAGAAAGCAATGTAAAGGAAAAAAAAAAAAAAGCAAGCTACATTGTATTCATGCCTGTAACGTAAAGAAAGCCTGCTGGTCTGGTGTGGGTTTTCTCAGCTCTGAACAACATGTTTATGTGTGTTATCTTTCAACTATTTTACATTTCCCTTTCTAAAATCTCTTTTAATAAAACCAGTATCAAAACAAAGTGCCTTGAGAACAAGTGTGTGGCCAGAGATACGCTGACAAAGTATGCAATAAACGTTACTGCTTATCTGGAGAGCTCCATTTATGTGGCACAGCCTCCGCAGTCAGGTCACCGTGACCTACGGATGAAACGCGAATGATGAGACTCTGCAAAGAAAATTCTCCTGTAGCCTCCTGCAGAGTTAACAAAGCACAGAAAGGAATGTTTGAAACCTCTTAAACAAGTAACTTAGCAACACTGCCCTGCCTTTGTTTTAACCAATCTCTTCCGTTATGCACATTTCTTGTAAGATACAAATGGTTGACAGAACTTTGATAGGTGTCAGTCTCCTTTTTTAACATATATAAATGGCTCTTTTTATGTGATGCACTCTCATTTTCTTTCCCTCTTTCTTCTAGACAAGGGCTTGAAGCTTTGTTTTTTTGAGTCTTCAGACAAATAATGTGTGTCTGTGCGTGTGGGAGAGGCAGGCCACTCATAACAAGGAAACAGAGTCAAAGCCTAGCTCTGACTTTTGTTAAAAAAACCTGGGAGTTGTTCTAGCTTGGAGCCCATTGCCAGCTTGCTTCAAAGAGCACCTGATAGTCAACAATACTGTAATACCTGACATAGAATCATGGAATCACAGAATGGTTTGGGTTGGAAAGGACCTTAAGACCATCTAGTTCCAACCCCTCTGCCATGGGCAAGGACACCTTCCACTAGACCAGGTCACTCAATTGTCCAGCCTGGCCTTGAAATACCTTCTGGTTTTCCTCCCTACCCTTATATGGCCCTTGTATTTCAATCTCCACAATGCCCCAGGAAATACCCAGTTAAAGAGTTACGACTGTCTTTGCCCTTACGGTACTAATATCAGAATGACGTAAAGAGACTGTGCTGGCAATGAGGATACCATAAACAACTACTTCGTCTGCTTGATAGTAGCATCATTCCTTCAGCCATGTACCTGGTGGGGAACCCATACCTGACATGCCCGAGGAACACGTATCTGGTGATGGGATAGGAAATGACAAATGGGGCCGCTTTGGCTTGGCAGACTAAAGGCCATATCACCAAAATTGCCACCACAGGTAAAGGTAATAGGAGCAGCTGGTCAGAAGCACCAACAGAACAAAAACTTGACTGAGTAGAGAAAGAAACCATGAGCCATTTTCTTTACAAGGTTGCTTTGTTGGTTGCACAGATACGCCGTGCAGGGTTTGCTCATTAGAAAGCAGGTCTACATTTGAGCTTGTTAAGGATGCAAGATGAGGCTTTGCATCCCATTTAGCAAGTCTTCAAATCATTTGACCACATTTCTTTCCTGTAGATTCCCTCCTAATCATTCCACTGAGGACACGGCAGATAATCTTACATTTAATTTATGCAGCTTTGTTGTTAAGAAGAGTTAATAATGTGAAATTATTTATCCTCAAGGAATAATTTAACCATCCTTCCCTCTCCCTGAAAGAACAGAAAGGAAAGGTGGGTCTGGTTTAATGGTCAAGTAAGCACATACAAAGCTCCTTATAGTTTCGCATCTTTAATATGGGCAGAGTGTAGTCTCTCATTGTGTATGCAAATGTGAATTACACATACACACACTTCTCCACAGTGAGTTTTTGGTCTAAGTACTTGGTTACAAGCATATATTAGAAAATCTGAGCCTTGCTGCTTTAAAATATTCAAGCACCAGAGTAGGATTTTATAGCTGTCATCTGGATAATTAAACTCTTCATTAACACTTGTTCTCAAACCAGTAGGTGACCTTTAGTTAGGGATGAAAGTACTCAGGGATGGATTTCAAGCATTAAGAAACTGCAGAGGACCCTTTTCCCCACAACCCCCTCCCAAGTCCATTGAATACCATTTGTAAAGCATTGGTTTTCCAAGAGAAATTGTGCTGGGTGAAACAAGAATGTGTTTCCAGGTACATGGAAGCATTCCAAGCGAGTGCTTCACTTACCCTTGTTATAACTAAAATGCTGCATTTTCTTTTTTCTCTCTCATGCAGATTTTGCCATGTGTTACCAGGATCTTTTTTATGCCAACCTGGACACTGGCACAAAGTTGTACCCACACTAAAATAGAACGGGAACAATAGTAAGATCACAATGAGAGCAGTGCACAGATGGGAACGTGCTATATTTATGAGTAGGTGGAAGATTACAGGGCAGCGTGTGCTTCTTTGTTGAGTCATCCAAATATGCAGTGCTAAAATGCTGCATTAAAGGGACTATTCTAGCTGGCAGTGTGCAAGGCCAGGCTGGACACAGGGGCTTGGAGCAATCTGCTCTAGTGGAAGGTGTCCCTGTCCATGGCAGGGGGTTGGAGCTGGATGAGCTTTAAGGTCTCTTACACTAAACATTCTATGATTCTATAGTTCCCAGGTAACAAGCAATAGAAATTTGCATGGGAAAA